CTTTGGCCCAGGGTGAAGCGATGGCCGTGGAGCTGGGCTTCCAACCAGGGGGGTGTGCGGTGGGGTGGCCCGGGGTCGGGGTCGGGGGAGGCTCACAGGGAGGGGGCCAGCTTGTTGCTGTGGACACTTTTGCCTTCCCATTATTTTAGTTTTGAATCTTGGTTTTGAAGTTTGTATTTTCTTTTACATCTTTTTGATTGTGCCAGCAGTGCCTGGATGCGCTGTGTTTAAACAGTAGTCATGCTCCATAAAGCAAGTTTCTTCTTGTCACCCAGCCTGACCCGGCACAACCCCAGCCCGACCCCAGCCTTACCCCAGTCCTACCCCGGCCCAACCCCAGTCCTACCCCAGCACAACCCCAGTCCTACCTCAGTCCTACCCCAGCCTTACCCCAGTCCTACCCCAGCCCAACCCCAGTCCTACCCCAGTCCTACCCCGGCCCAGTCCTCCCGCTTTCCAGTGGCTGTGGGTCCTCCCAGACCTGTTGTCTGGTATGTTGGACACTGTCATGGTGGAAAATCTTTACAGAGGTTATAATGAGGATTAGCTGTGAGTCCTTCACACACACATACACACACACACACACCAAGTCCCTGGGACCATGGTGGCTTCCAGGGAGAGAGAGGCCGGAGCTGGGTAAGCTGGGAGGGAGGGGCCAGAGAAAGAGCAAAACCCTTTGTGCTGCTTGGGGCAGCTTTGCCACCGTCTGTGGGACTCAGAGGCCGGGAGGTGAGGCCCCAGGGCTGGGAGTGAGGTCACAGGCTAGGAGGGCCTGGGGGCAGGGCGGGTTCAGATCCTGTAACTGCTGCCCCGAGGCCCCGAGGGGCTGGGACAGGGGCCTTAGGGCGGCGGGAGGGCGGCCCTTGGCGTGGTCAGTGGGCGGAGGATCGAGGAGGGAGGTGGGTGACACAGGCCGACGTGCCATGTCAGGATGGGAAGGAGGCTGAGAGGGGAGGCGACACGGCGTTGTGAGTGGACGTGTGGCCCAGAGCTCAGGCCAGCAGAGTCCCAGCTGGGGTGGGGGTGGAGTTGTGGGCCTCAGAGTTACACAGACCCAGACAGTTCTGAGATGCCCTGTGCCTCAGTTTCCTCTTCTGGACGGTGGGAGTAGTCATGAGTCCACATGGAGGCCAAGGGGGCTGTGTGGCTCAGGGTTCGAGAAGAATAAGCCAAGGGATGACTCCAGCCTGACCCACTTGCCCCCTCCACCAGCCCCACCCCCTCCAGTAACCCTACCCCTCCACCAGCACCTCGCCTGCTGGTCATTCCCAGAGGCCCAGACCCTTCTTGGACCCAGGCCCTGAGCCCTGCTTTGCTCCATTCGTGGCCTGGTTTGGAGGCGTCCCTGTGAGTGGCCCCAGGCGTGAGGGGGGGCCTCAGTGCAGCATTTCCACCTGGGTGGCCGGTGGCCGGTGGCCAGCCAGTTGTTTTCTCAGCCTGGGGTCGGCTCCAGGGAGGAAATGGGCGAGTGGCCCCAACACCCACACCCACAGCCCCTCACTGGTCTGGTCCTCACTTGAGCTTGAGCTCTCCATGGCCCCATGCAGCAGCCAGGGCAGCTTATACCACTTGCCAGGGGGGAAACTGAGGCCCAGACAGGAGCTGTGGCCTGGGGTCACCAAGCCAAGGTTTTGGGTTCTTAGTCACCTTCTGCCAGAGGTAGAAATGGGGGTGGCTTTGCCCCTCTGCCCAAGTCCGAGCCTTCCCCCTTTCCCCCTTCTTGGCCACGGGCACTTCCTGGCGCCCCCTGGCGCCACTCCCAGAGCGGATCTCTCAGGCCGGCCTGTCTGGTCCAGCTGCCCCGCCAGCCTGGCCAGCATGACTCAGCGTGTGGCCCCCAGGGGGTGACTCAGGAGCCTCCAACGCCCTGCCTGGCCTCTCCACACGGGGCATCTGGGATCCCTGTTTGTGATCCTCTGAGCCTCTGACCCCCTCGGCCCGCGGACCACAAACACAGCCCGGCCCTCGAAGGGGCGGCCCAGGGGTGGGTGTGGGGGTGCAGGAGCACGGGCCCTCACCCTGCTCTGCGGGCCCTCACCCTGCTCTGCGGGCTCACCCTGCTGGAAGCCACCCCTGGTGGGGGACTTGGGAGGTGGCTCTGGGCCCAGGCCGGTGGGCACTGTGCGGGTCTGTGTGGGGATGGCTTAGGCATGCGCTGAGTGCCGTGTCAATGCAGAATCTATTTTTTTAATGGCCCAAATAGCACCCTCCTCCACTCTACAGTGAAAACCAAAAGATCTAAAGCTTCTCAAAATAAAGTATATTCTGATGTTGAAGAAGAAACCGACTTTTAAAAAATCATCTATAATTGACTATCTATTATTGCAAAAACTATCCCTATAATATCATATACCTCGTGAAACAGTAATTTGGATTATGTGATCAGTTATTTTAATTCCCATTATTTTTGGAATAGATGGCACCCTGCTCTGTGGGCCCTCACCCTGCTCTATGGCTTCGGCCACAGGGAAGCCACCCCTGGTGGGGGACTTGGGAGGTGGCTCTGGGCCCAGGCCGGTGGGCACTGTGCGGGTCTGTGTGGGGATGGCTTAGGCATGCGCTGAGTGCCGTGTCAGGGTGAATACCGCCCCCCCCTCCAGGAGTGTGGACACAGGCTGCATTGTGGGAGCCCGGACCACGTCGTGCTGATGAGGGAAGCCAGTCCCCAGGCCACGTGCTGCAGGCCCTGTGAGGAGCCATCTTGAAAAATGCAAAAAACGCTTCCGCAGATGGGGCGGCCTGAGGCTTCTCAGGGGCCCAGGGTCGCGCCCCGCTGGCCGTGCCGCAGGCCCAGCCCGGGGAACCTGTCCCCACTCTACAGGCGGGAAAACCGAGGCCCGGGAGGGCGGAGTCCGGTCACTCGGGTCAGAGCTGGGCCCTGCCGCAAACCGAACACTCTCTGTTCCTTCAGGGAAAATGAATGTTCAGGAGCGCGCTCTCTCGTTCTCTCTCGTTCTCTCTCACACATGCCCGCCTCGCCCTCCCTGAGCTCCAAGGGCCCCCTTGGCTTCTAAGCGTCTCCTGAGCCGTCGCAGCCCAGCGGGCTCACCCCACCCCCTGTGACTTCCTAAGTGAACTTTCTCTGATCATTTGGAAAAAAGAGAATGCTCATCACAGACAGTTTGGAAACGACGGCGACGTCATGAACCGCCCCATGCGGGCCTCCTGGGCCGGCGCCACCGTAGGGACGGACCGGGCCAGGCTGCGGCCCAGGAGGCCCAGGCCCAGGCTCAGGTCGGGCGGCCACACCGCCGTTCCCAGGAAAACCGTGGTGGTAGGTGACGACAACATCGTTGTGCGTCTGTTCCACGTTTTACGATGCCTGCTTCTGTGACCCATTTCCTGTTAAAATTGGGGTGGTCTGTATTATCCAAATTTATATTTATTCGGGCCTCCGGGTTGCGCAGGGCCTCCCCCTGCACCTGCTCCCCTCCCACCACACACAGAGGTATGAGTCCTTCTCTGCCCCCCCCCCCCCCCCCCCCCCTCCTGTGTCCCGTGGAGAAAGTGCTCGCTGCCTTCCAGCACCTTCTTCCCCTGACCCCGGGTCAGGGTGCCCCTCTGAGGCTGTGCCCGCCCCCACCCAGCAGGCTGGGATGTAAGTTTACTGAACTGAATCCAGCGTGTGGCTTCTTATCTCATGCAAACAGACGCCCTCAGATTCCCCACCTGGGGTCGCGGTGTGTCGGGGGGGCTCAGCCCCTCCTTTGGTGATGGGGAAGCGGACACGGAGCCAGGGGTGCTGAGGGGCTGAGGGTGCCCGCAGCAGGTCCCGGCAGAGCTGGCCCCCGAGGCCCAGCCTGGGTCCCGGCCCCGTCGTGTCTCTCTGGACTCTTAGCTCCTGGGAGCAGCTCAGCCTGCCAGGAGCATGGCATGCTGCGGGGCACCCAGTGGGTCCTGGCACAGACCCTGGTGCTGCTGGGCAAGGGGCGTGGCCACCAGCATAACGGAGAAGCCATGCCTGGGTCCCCAGCTCTGGGGTGGCAGCTTCCCGGCCCCAGGCAGAGCCGTCCTCACCCTGAGCCCTGCCCTCCTGCCCAGCCCTGACTCTCGCTAACTCCCCCCCTTCCCACTCACCACTGCCAGGAGCGGGTTTTGACCGCGGCCAGGCGTGGCCCCAGAGTGCTGGGTGACCCCAGGCAGGCTGCTCCCCTCTCTGGGACCGGAAGGGAGGGTGACTGTAGGGTGTGCACAGCCCCACACCGGGCTGGGCCCAGGTAGGCAGGTTGATGTCCCATTTCACAGAGGGAGACACTGAGGCGGCCCAGACAGTTTCAGGGATTTGCCTGAGGTCACAGGGAAGCCAGGAATGAGCCGAGCCCTGTCGGCTGCCAGCTGCCCAGGGTGTGGATGGGAAGTGCTAGAACCTGAAGCACGGGGCGTGGACTGGCGCAGGCCTCCCCGCATCCTGGCTGGCACCGGCCTGGGGAGGAAAGGCTGGGCAGCCTGCTTGGTGGCGGGGCCCAAACCGGCCTGACTGAGGTGGCGGAGCGGAGGGCTCACCTGTCTGGGGACCCAAGGCCAAGGCTGAGGTGAGAGCACAGGACGTTGGCAGCTGGGGCAGGAGCTGAGGGGGCCTGCAGTGGGACGGGCACCTGGGAGGCTCCCACAGTCAGGGCAGCTTCTGGGTGCGGGAGGAGTTTGGGTGGAAATGTGTTCCCTGGCGCCCGGGGGCTGGGAGGGCAGGGCTGCAGGTGTGAGCCGCCTCCCCACCCCCATCTTCGCCGCCCCTCCCATCTTTTCTTCAATCGAGTGACTGAGTGATGAGGGGCTGGTACCAGATGCACCCCAGGACTTTGGTGACCCCGGGTCTGCGCACAGTAGGTTCTTGGGAAATGCGCAGTGCGGCCCAGCCTCTCACCGGCCCTGCTTTCTCTTTCAGAGCTTCCAGAACAGCAGCCAGAGCAGAAATGGCTCCGCCCTGGGTGCCCGCCGTGGGCTTCACGCTGGCGCCCAGCCTGGGGGGCTTCCTGGCGGGCAGGGCCTCTTCCCTTGCCAGGGCCCCGGCCCCGGGCGGGGCTGTAACTGTCGGTGCTCCTTGGGCAGCGGCGCCGTTTCTGGGCCTCCTCTGCCAAGGGAGGGTGGAGAAAGTGGCGGACCGTGGATTGCAGCACCGAACCTTCCCTGCGGGGCCTCTGGGGAGGGGCGGGCCGATGGCTCAACCCCACACTGGCATCCTGGCTGCTTTCACAACGCCAGGGTGAGACTGGCTCAGTGGGCAAAGTTCAGACGTGGGCAGCGTGGCGGCTTCCAAGATCAATGGCCGCAATAACAACAGCAGTAACAGTCGCTGCCGTTTGCTGAGCATCCGTTTGGTGCTAGAGTGCGGGAGCCCCTGGCCGGGACCCTGGGAATTGCTGTGGTGAAAGGAAGTGCTGTGGGGCGCCCCCTGGTGGCCACAGCGGGAACTGCACGCAGGAGGTGCCGTCAGCTTCCTGCCCATCTTCTGGAATGTTCCCTGCATGCGGGTTCTGTGTCAGCCCCGGGCAGGGTGGGGCCGGCCGTAGACCCTAGCTACCCTCGGGGCAGGTAGCAGAGGCTGGGCTGGGAGCCCCAGAGTTGTGGTGGGAGTAAGACAGTCCCTGAAACCTGGCTGTCCCTGGGCCCCACCCCCCAGCCCAGGCAGGCCCCCAGCGCTCCCTGCGTCCCGCTCCCTTCTCTCCAGTCCTGGCCCAGGTGCCTCGCTCCTGCGTCAGCTTGCTCTGGCCTCCAGGCCTCCGAGGCCTCCTTGGCCTTCCTCCACCACCCAGATCCTGACACGGCACAAACGTGGCCCCGTCTCTTTCCCGGAACCCCGCCCCGTGAGGCTCCTGTAGGCACTGACAAGGGCAAACTCCTACTCATCCTGTAAGGCCCAGCTCAGATGCCTGTGTGTTCTGTGCAGTGCCCCGGCAGGGCTGGGAGCCTCACGGCTTCCTTCTTCACAGCCCCGACAACGACAATAATGGTAAATACTTACTGAGTGCCCCACGTGCCAGGCACTGCCCTAAGCACTGCCGGTGCATTAACCTGTGAGAAATGAAGGCCCAGAGAGGTCAGGCAACTTCCCTGAGGCCACACAGCAGTCAGCGGCAGGGCAGGCCTGACATCACTGTGTCCTCCCGGAGGTCAGTGCGCTCCTGGCCTCTTTTCCGGCGTTGCCCTGACAGGTGTCCTCTGTTTCAGGTACGGCTCCTACCTGGTCTGGAGAGAGCTGGGGGGCTTCTCGGAGGAAGCTGTGGTGCCCCTGGGCCTCTACGCGGGGCAGCTGACCCTGAACTGGGCATGGCCTCCCATCTTCTTTGGCTCCCGACAGATGGGTGTGGTAAGTGCCTCCCTGGCCCCTGGAGATGGGCGTGGAGGGCGGGCCTCCTTCGGGGACACGGGCATCACACCCAGACGGGGCCAGGGCCCGAAGGCAGGAGCAGCGTCCCGTCAGCCGCTCAGGGCCGGCGCCCTCTCGTGGAGCCTCCACGGCTGCTTTTCCTCCAGCGAAGGAGCCGGACGGGCTGCTGGCCCCGGTTTAGGAGCCAACGTGTAGGACCACCCACAGTGCACCTGGCACCGTGCACCCCCCACGCGGTGTGGGTCAGGCAGAGGCAATTGTTGCCATTTTATTATGGGGAAACTGAGGCAGAGAGTGGGGGAGGGGCTTGCCCGGGTCATGCGCGGGTGGAATGGAGTGAGTTCTCAAGTGGGTGGGCAGCTGGGACAAGCACCCTCGTGGGTACCTTGAGCCTCAGGCCCCCGTCCTCCGTGTCTCCACAGGCCCTGGTGGACCTCCTGCTGACGGGGGGGCTGGTGGCAGCCACCGCCGTGGCCTGGCACCGGGTGAGCCCTCCGGCCGCTCGGCTGCTCTACCCGTACCTGGCCTGGCTGGCCTTTGCGACCGCGCTCAACTACTGCGT